AAGGGTCTCCGAAGAAAAGAAATCGGTATATATAATATTTATACGAGAAATATCGGCTGCTATTAGGAGATATATAACAAAATTATTTGTTTTAATTTCTTATAAGTAATTCTTTTAGGGTTCTAAATAACTGACTAAATCTCCCGGAAGGAAGTATATATTCCTGATCAAATTTCACTAAGGGTCTCCCAACAACAGATATCCGTATTATTAATATATATCCGAGAAATATCGTTTATATATCCGCAAATTAGAGATATATAACAAAATTACTTGTTTAAATTTCTCACATGTAATTTTAATAGGGATCGAAATAATTGCCCAAATCTCCCACAAAACTTCACTTGAGGGAAATAGTGTTGAAGGGAGAAATATTCCTCATCAAATTCCACTATGGGTCTCCAAACAAAAGAAATCGGAATATAGAATATTTTCCCGAGAAATATCATATACAAAATGGAAATATATAAAAAATATAATGATTTTACTTTCTCCTAAGTAATTTTAATCGGGATCGAAATAATTGCCCAAAATCTCCCACAAATCTACACCAGAGGGATAGAGTGTCAATGGAAAAAATATTCCTCATCGAATTTCACTATGGGTCCCCGAACAACAGATAGCGGAATATATAATATACATTGACGTAATATCGGTCCAAAAATACAGTATATCAGTAAAAATAAAATTATTATTTTTGAGATGTTATTTTATTAGGGTTACAAGTAATGATTCATATCTGTCCAAAATCTTCATTTTGTGGGGAGGGTATCAATGTGAAAAATATTCCTCATCGAATTTCACTATGAGTCTCGAAACAAAGTAAATCGGTAGATTTAATATATATCAATTAAATATCGTTCAAAAAGTAGAGCGATATTTGTAATGTCCAGATGTTATTCGGTTAGGGTTGTGAATAATGGCCTAAAACCGCCCTAAATCTTCGTTTGAGCGCAATAATCTCAATGGAAAAAATATTTCTCATGGAATTTTACTATGAGTTCCCAAACAAAATAAATCGATAGCTATAATTTATAGCAAAGAAATGTCGGTCAAAATAACATTGAATAGAGGAGTCGATATTTGTAATATTCATGTGTTATATTCTTAGGGTTGTGAATAGTGGCCCAAAACTAACCCAACATGTTATTTGCGGTGTAGGGTGTCAATGAAAAAAATATTCTCCGCCAAATTTCATTATGGGCACCCAAACAAAAGAAATCGGTAGCTATAATATATATCAACAAAGTATCGGTCAAAAAGTTGAATATAATCGAAGAGTCGATATTTTTAATGTCCAGATGTTGTTTTGTAAGGGGTGGAAATAGTGGCCAAAAACTCCGCTAATTTATTATTTTCGGAGGAGGGAGTCAATGAAAAAAATAATCCTCGTCTAATTTCATTGTGGGTCTCCAAACAAAAGAAATCGGTATCTATAATATATATCAATAAAATATCGATTAAAAAGTAGAGTATATCTGTAAGAGTGGTATTTGTAATTTTTTGATGTTATTTCAATTAGGGATGGAAATAATATTCCAAAACTCCCTCAAATTCTTATTTTAGGAGGTGGGTACCAATAGGAAAAATATTCCTCATCGAATTTCACTGTGGGTCTCCAAACAAAAGAAATCGGTAGCTATAATGTAAATCAATAAAAATATTGATCAAAAATAGGGTATGAGGGTATTTTTTTCCATTTGTTGGTATTATTTTATTGGAGGTGGAAATAAATACCCAATACTCCCCCAATTTGTAATTTTCGGAGGAGGAAGGAGGAAAAAATATTCCTCGTCGAATTTCATTATGGGTCCCCAAACAAAAGAAATCGATAGCTATACCAAATATCAATGAAATGTCGTTCAAAAAGTAGAGTAGAGTCGTTAGGGCGATATTTGTAATTTTCAAATGTTATTTTGTATGGGTTGGAAATAGTAGCCCAAAACTCCGCCAATTTGTTATTTTCGGGGGAGGGTGTCAATGAAATAAATACTCTTCATCAAACTTCATTACGAGTCCCCAAACAAAATAAATTGGTAGCTATAATGTAAATCCACAAAAATATTGATAAAAAATAGATGAGGGTATTTTTTCGATTTTTAGGTATTATTTTATAGGATGTGGGAATACAGACCCAATACTCCACCAATTTGTAATTTTCGGAGGAAGGTGTCAATGAAAAAAAAAATCCTCATCGAATTTCACTATCAGTCTCCATATAAAAGAAATCGGTAGCTATAACATAACTCAATGAAGTGTCGCTCAAACAGTAGATTATATTTATAATGGATTTATTTGTAATTTTCAGATGTTATTTTGTAAGGGGTGTCAATAGTGGCCCACAACTCCCCCAATTCTTCATTTTCGGGGGAGGGTGCCAATGAAAAAATATTCCCCATAGAATTTCACTGATGGTCTCCAAACAAAAGAAATCGGTAGCTATAATATATATCAACAAAATATCGATCAAAAAGTAGAATAGAATCGCTGAGTCGATATTTGCAATTTTTTGGTGTTATTATTTTGTAAGGGATGGCGATAGTGGCCCAACACCCCTCCAATTTCTTATTTTCGGGAGAGGATGTCAATGGAAAAAGTATTCCTCATCGAATTTCACTATGGGTTCCACACGAAATAAATCGGTAGCTGTAATATATAGCAACGAAATATCGATCAAAAGTAGAATAGAATCGAAGAGTCGATATTTACAATTTTTTTAGTGTTATTTTGTTAGGGGTGGAAATAATAGCCCAAAACTCCCTCAAATTTTTATTTTCGAGGGAAGGTGTTAATGAAAAAATTATTCCTCATCAAATTTCACTATGGGTCCCCAGACAAAAGAAATCGGGATCTATAATATATATCAACAAAATATCGGTTACAAAGTAGAGTATATTCAATATGTGCAATTTGTAATTTTAGTGTATAATTTTCTGAGGGGTTGGAAGACTGGCTCAAAACCCCCACAATTTTTAATTTGAGAAAAAAAAGTGTCGATGGACAAAATATTGCTCATCGAATTTCACTGTGGGTTCCCAAACAACAGAAATCGATTGCTCTCATACATATCATTGAATTACCAATTAGAATTATTGGATTTATATAATTTTTCATTTATCGATTTTTAAGTTCTTTTATTAATTCATAATTTTTTTTTTAAATATTTTTATATATTTCCTTCACGTCTTCATTGCGTATATTTGTAAACGAAATCGTGGCTTACGCTGTGTGCTTAACAAAAAATCCAATAGATATTTGCCCCTGGGCAAGGGTACCATTTTAAATTGCCGACTATCGAAGATGAAATTTTTTACAACCAACTTTTCCTGAGAAAAAAAACAAAAAATATTTTTTCTTATTTAAAAATAGAAAAAAATCAAAAAATATTTCCACCCACATCCAATGGACAACTGTGATTAAAATTCGAAAATTTCTTTATGGTCTCATAAATAAGACCCCAGAAAACCTGACGTTTGGCATTATCCAAAAAATCACAGACATCAATGTGATCATCGTAGATAAACGGCTGATAGCGATGTTGTTCCCAGCGCAAAAGTTTCGCATGGACCTGAAATAAAAAAAATTATTAAATTTATTAAAAAAATAAGAATAAAAAATATATATTTTTTTTTAATTCTGAAAAACAAATTTGAAACCCCCACCTTAAATCCCTCCCTTTCCTTTTGCAACTGAGCCTCCATATTCCAAGTTCGCACATTATTTTTCCCCTTAGCCAGTGTGCATTTTGTGATTTTTACAAATGTCGCATCCAAAGGATTGCAGGTAACATTTACTAACTCAATTAGCCCAGTTCTAATGGAGATGACATTCGAAATTAATTGGCTCAGGAATAGCCAACCGCTAAACAACTGTTTAACCTTCATTGATGTTAACGAACTGAGTAAATTTTAAGGTGGAATGTGATTATAGGTAAAAATATCGAAATTAATTTTGAACGATCAGATAATTGAAGTCCATTTGGAAAAACACTTTTTGTATCGTTTTGTTGGTAAAAATTATTGGGACAATTAATTTTTGGAGTTGCCATATTTTTTGGGGAAGTTTTCAATATCAAGGAAATTATTTCTTACCACAAGCTCCTTACAAGAATGGCGAAAAACTCATACATCTATAATGGATCCCGCTTGTATTGCTTACAAATTCTGAAAGTGGTTACCCTGAGCTTTCATAAAAGCCCATTATCGTCAGCATAGCCTCAACCACCCGGTTACAGGGAAACTATATTTATAACTATTATTTTTAAATTTAATGTTTTTAGTGTTGGAAATAATGGTCCAAAACTTCTCTAAATGTTTATTATTGGGAAAGAGTGTCAATGGAACAAATATTCCTTATCGAATTTTACTATGGGTCACCGAAGAATCGAAGTCGATATATACACTATATATCAACATAATATCGATCTAAAAATGGAATATATTAATAAAACAAAAATTTTATATTTTTCGGATGTCATTTTATTGGTGTTGCAAGTAATGACCCATATCTGCCACAAATTTTCATTTGAGGGGTAGGATGTTAGTGGCAAAAATATTCCTTATCAAATTTCACTATGGGTCTCCAAACAATAGAAATTGGTAGTTATAGTATATATCGACATAATATCGATCCAAAAATAGAGTATATCAGTAAATGTAAAATATTTATTCTTTAGTGGTTATTTTGTGTTATGAATAATGGTTCAAAATTACCATAACTCTTCATTTGAGGTGTAGGATGTTAGTGGCAAAAATATTCCTCATCAAATTCCGCTATAGGTCTCCAAACTAAATAAATCGGAACGTACAATATATATCAACGAAATATCGATCAAAAAGTTAAAATACTTACTTTACCAACGACAAATTTAAAAATTATGGCAAAAAATCGGTAAACTTTAATTTGTTCCGCATATATTATGAAAACATTATGAAACTGCTTCCCACAAGCTTTCAATACCACTGACTCTGATTAGTGTAGCCTCAACCATTCGGACACAGTGAACCTTTTTATCGAACTACTACATGAGAAAAAAATTCTTAAATCCTTATTTTACTATCCGTGTATTTAATAATCGTGGAAATGTTCGGTAAACTCTAATGGGTTCCGCTTACACTGATTCCGCACACATTCCGAAAGTACTTACCCTGAGCTTTCAAAAAAGCTTAGTATCGTTATTGTAGCCTTAACCTTGCGGACACAAAGTTCCTTTATATCTAACTCCTACCTGTGAAAAAAATCTCACTTTCTACAAGTGTAATCAAAATGGTTCGGAAAAGTCAGCAAACTGTAATGGGTTCCACCCATATTCTGCACACAGCCTGAAAGTAGGTACCCTGAACTTTCATAAACGACCAGTATCGTTAGTGTAGCCTCAATCCTCCGGAGACAGTGCACCTTTATATCAAGCCACTAAATGTAAAAATGTCTTACTTTATCATAAATGTTTTTCAAAATCGACAAAAAAGTCGTGAAACTCTAATGGGGTTCACCTATATTGTGCACATATTTCGAAAGTATTCCTTGTGAGCTTTCATAAGCTCCAAATAACGTTATTGTAGCCTCAATCATCCGGACACAGCGAATCTTTATATCAATGCACTACTTTCTTTCCTTTCATATGTGTATTTAACAATCGTCGAAACAGTCGACGAACTCTATATATATTGTGTAGATACATACCCATATATTGTGTAGAAATTTTGAAGAAACATACCCTGAGCTTTCATAAAAGCGCAGTATAATTATAGTGATCTCAATCATTCATACACACCGAACCTTTATCTCAACTCACTACTTGGAAAAAAAACCTTTCCTTTCATATATAAATTTAATAATTGTCGAAAAAGTCGGCAAACTTTAATGAGTTCCGCTTGTATTGGTCACACATTCTCATAGTTCTTAACTTTAGCTTTCATAAACGCCCAGTAACGTTAGTGTAGCATAAGCCATTTGGTCACCGTGCTCTTTTATATCAACTCACTTCTTAAGAAATAATCCGCACTTTAGCACAAGTGCATCTAATAATCGTTGAAAAAGTCGGTATACGGTAATGGGTTCCTTCTATACTGTGCACACATTCTGAAAGTACTTCCGAACACCTTTCACACACATTCCCTTTCATAAGTATAAACTTATTAGATTTAACACAGTGAGCCTTACGATAAAGTCACTTCTTGAAATACAAATCATGCTTTCAACTAAGCATATTTATAATAGTAGACAAAATTGGCAAACTGTAATGGGTCGATACTTAACTATGAACGCATTCTAAAAGTGCTTACTGAGACCTTTCCAGCGCACATGGTTTCATGAGTAAAACTCTTATACTCTTGACACAGTGACTCATTAGATAAACTCACGTATGAGAGACAAATTCATGCTATACCATTTGCATCTATAAAGATGTGGAAAATCTCATAGATCTGTAATGGGTTCCGCGTATGATATTCACACATTCTGAAAGTGCTTCTGAAGAGCTTTCATTTCTGCTCCTTTCCATAATAATGTGCTTAATAGTATTGGTACTGTGCACCATTACATCTGCAATCTACTCATTAACTAAACATACCTTACCGCTGGTGCATTGCCAAAAGTGAAATAACTCGACAACTTTAAATGGGTTCCGAATATGTTTTGCACACATTCTGGTAGTGCTACCAAAAAGCTTTCATATGTGTCGCACCACAGATGGAAATCACGAACCACCTTGACACAGTGAGTAATCACGTAAACTTACCAATTAGAGATAAAATCATTCCTACAAATTGTACATTTAAAAATGTGGATTAAACTCCATAACATGTAATGGGTTCTTGACCCATTGTGCACATATTCTAGAAATGCTTCCTAAGAGCTTTCATTTGAATACATTTTCATAGGGATATCCACAAAAGTCGAGTCAAAAACGGATATTTTATCAACTCATTGCTTGAAAACCCCTTTACCATTTGCGTATTTTAAACATTTGGGAAAAAATCATGACTCAGTAATTGGGTCGACATATTTTGCATACATTCTGAAAGAGCTTCCTTAGACCTTTCTTTGATGCTGAATTTTATAGATATATATACCCAAAAGTCTGGTCTCAGTGGCTCAGTATATATACTCGCACCTTGAAATTCTCGTTATCATTTGCGTATTTACAAATGTGGCAAAATCTCATGAACTTGTAATGTGTTCCGTATATATTCTGCACACATTCTGGAAGTGCTTTCTCAGAACATTCAGTAATGCCAAGTTTATATAGGTATATCCCCAAAAGTCGGCTCACAATGGGACATCTCCTCGCATGTTGAAATACACTTTACTATTTGGGTATGTAAAAATGTAGGAAAAACTCATGTAATGGGTTCGACATATATTTTTTTAACACATTCTGAAACTTTTCCCTTAGACCTTTCGGTGAAGACCAGCTTCATCGTTCCAAATACCTTACAGTGATGCCTAGTTTCATTGAAAGTCAGCCACAGTGATTCATACTTACCGTCTGAAATACCGTTTAGCATTTGCGTATTTAAAAATGTGGAAAATCTCATGCACATGTAATGGGTTCCGCATGTACTTTGTACACATTCTGAAAGTGTTTCTACAGAGCTTTCAGTAATGCCAAATTCCATATATATGCTTCCACAGAGCTTACAGTAATGCCAAGTTTCGTAGATATATCTCAAAAATTCTACTCACAAAGGTTCATTATATCTACTCACTTCTTAAAATACACTTTACCACTTGCGTATATACAAATATAGAAATATCTCGTAATCCTGTAATGGATTCTACATATAATGTGCACACATTCTAATAGTGCTACCAAAGACCTTACAGTCATGCCTAGTTTCATTGAAATATCCCCAAAGGTAAGACCACAGTGGCTCATACTTACCGTCTGAAACACCGTTTAACATTTGCGTATTTAAATATGAGCAAAAAACTCATGAACTTGTAATGGGTTCCGCATGTACTTTGCACACATTCTGAAAGTGCTTCCATAAAGCTTTCAGTAATGCCAAGTTTCATACTCATATCCCGAAAAGTTTGGTCACACTGGCTCAATATATACACTCGCAGCTTGAAACACATTTTACCATTTGCGTATTTACAAATATGGAAAAATCTCATAAACCTGTAATAGGTTCCGCATATAGTTTGAACACAATCTGAAAGTGCTTCCATAGAGCTTTCAGTAATGCCAAGTTTCACCATTATATCCCGAAAGGTCTAGTCACAATGGGTACCATTATATCTAATCACCGCTTGAAACAAACTTAAGCATTTGCGTATATAAAAATGTGGAAAAATCTCATAAGTCTGTAATAGGTTCTGCATACAATTTTCACACATTCTGAAAGTGCTTCCACAGAGCTTTCAGTGATGCCAAGTTTCATTGATATATCCCCAAAAATCTAGTCACAGTGAGCCATTTTATCTATTCACTGTTTGAAACACACTTTACAATTTATGTATTTAAAAATTTAGAAAAAATTAAGAACCAGTAATGTGTGCCGCATATACTTTGTACATTTTCTGAAAGTGCTTCCTTAGAGCTTTCAGTAATGCCAAGTTTCATAATTATATCCCGAAAAGGTTGGTCGCAAAGGGTCATATTATATATTCATTTTTTGAAAGACACTTCAGCATTTGTGTATTTAAATATGAGCAAAAAATGCATACACCTGTAGTGGAAGTGATGCAAATGTGGTACAGGTTGGTAATGTGGTATAGTCACTTTTTTTGTAAACTGAAAATTTTAGAATAACTGAAACATGTTCTATAGTTTGCTGTTCTCACAAAAATAAGATAGCAATGACCTGTTTAATTTATTTAAATCACGTTGAGAATCAGTACCAAAAATAAAATTTTTCATGAAATTTACTTTTTTTCGGTTGAAGTTTAAAAATAATTTTTTGTTTTACGGATGTACTTTAATCGTTATTACTAAAGCATTAAAATAATCAGTATAAACTAAAAATCAAATAATATGCGCGATTGCACCACATAATCACCAATTTGGAAAAAAACTAGACATTTCTTCAGTAAACACAAGTGTAGGTAATGTGGTATACCTTGGTTCTGCATGAAAAAAGGCCAGCACTAGACAAAATCTCATTACTATGTGAAACATTTGTACTCTACGAGAGTCTACCATGAATCACAAGGATGAAAAACAAAGGCTATGAGTTTTAACAACTTCTCCATGCAAAAATTAAATATTGACATGTGTAGACATTATTATATAATAAAAATTTAAGTTCCACTCAACGTATCCGTTAAAAATCTTAACAGACATAAATCTCGAGCTAATTCGCATTCATTAAAAACAATAAATTATATAAGATATCAATTGGAAGTGAAAATTATACTATACCACATTAACATCATGTGGTATACCACATTACCTGCACTTTTTTTAAAATCACTTTTTATGGGATTTCAAATATTTTCTCAAATATCTCTTAAATTGTTAGAATAATATTATTTTCAAATTGATACATGGAAAGACAACACATGTAGCATGTTAAGTGCAAAATTTCAATTTAATCGGATAAAAAATAAAAATTTGGCAATCTAAAAACAAATGGGTATACCACATTTGCATCACCTCCTATAAAGGGTTCCGCATATAATTTGCACACATTCTGAAAGTGCTTCCATTGAGCTTTCAAAAAATACCAGTTACAGGACTACAAGCCCTATACTTTTGACACAGTGGTTCATTATATTTACTCATCACTTAAAACACAATTTATCATTATCATCTTTAGAGATCTAGAAAAATCTCCTGAACGTGTAATCGATTCCTCATATACTTTGCAAACATTCTGAAAGAGCTTCTATAGAGCTTTCATTGAAGATCGGATTCAGCAGTATAGCTTTGAAATTTTGAGGTACAGTGGGATATTATGTTAAGTCACTCATAAGCGAAAAAAAAACATTTCTTAACCAGACTGTTGGAAAAAATCGAATTACTCATAAACCGATAATGGGTTCCGCCAATATGTTACACACATTCTGAAAGAGCTTTTATAGAGCTTTCAGTGAAGACCAGTTTCAGTAGTATAGCTTTGAAATTTTGAAACAAAGTGGAATATTATGTTATGTCTCTTATAAGGGAGTAAAATCATTTCTTACCCAGACTGTTGAAAAAGGTGGAATAACTCATGACCCGGTAATGGGTTCCGCCAATATTTTACACACATTCTGAAAGAGCTTCTATAGAGCTTTCAATGAAGACCAATTTCAGTAGTATAGCTTTGAAATTTTGAGGCACAGAGGGATATTATGTTATGTCATTCTTAAGCGAAAAAAATCATTTCTGACCCAGTCTATTAAAAAAAGGTGGAATAACTTATGAACCGGTAAGGGGTTCCGCCAAAATTTTACACACATTCTAAAAGAGCGCTTATAGAGCTTTCAGTGAAGACCAATTCCAGTAGTGTAGCTTTGAAATTTTGAAACAAAGTGGAATATTATGTTATGTCTCTTATAAGGGAGTAAAATCATTTCTTACCCAGACTGTTGAAAAAAGGTGGAATAACTCATGACCCGGTAATGGGTTCCGCCAATATTTTACACACATTCTGAAAGAGCTTCTATAGAGCTTTCAATGAAGACCAATTTCAGTAGTATAGCTTTGAAATTTTGAGGCACAGTGGGATATTATGTTAAATCACTCATAGGCGAAAAAGATCATTTCTTAAGCAGACTGTTGGAAAAAAATGGAATAGCTGATGAACCGATAATGGGTTCCGCCCATATTTTACACAAATTCTAAAACTACTTTCTCACAGCTTTCATTGACACCTAAGTTCTTTTAAATTGTTTATTAATATTTATTTTTTATTCTCACTTTCTTTTCAGGTAATTATCAAAAAATGTGAATGCTGATTTATTTTCAAAACTGGTAAGAAGTGTCTCCGATTTATTCGCGCTTTCCAATTTTATTGCCTGGCTACTTGAAATTTAACACGAACCTTGGGTGTTCCATTCAGCAAAAAACGCAAATCCATCATATAATGTCCTCTGGGAAAGGGCAGAACCTTAAAGACATCATCATCGAACAGGAAGTTCCGAACGAGAATTAAATCCTAAAAAATTATAAAAAATATAGAAGAGAAAAGTTTTCAAAATTTTATTGTAATTTTCCTCACCTCAAATGGACACGTGTGATTCAAATTGGAATATTTCAAGGCCATCTTATAGACACGTCCCCAAAAGATATGTCGTTTCTGTGGCCGCTCCAGGAAATCACACAAATCCACAGTGTCCTCATAGAGAAAAGGTTCAAATTTCTTGTTGACCTTGCGCAGCAGCTTGGCTTCGATCTGGGGAAATATTTACAAAAATATTAAGATTTTTTAAAATCGGGATATTTTTTAATTTCTAAAAATTAAGTAAAATTGGAAAAATATATTTTAAAACTATTTTTTTTTTATTTTTAAATTTTTTCCCACCTCCACACTTCGCACTGCCTGCTTTAGCTGCAAATCAACATTCCAAGCCATTTGCTTTTTCGAATTTTTCTCCACAAAACATTTGTCAAATTTTGCCAAATTTTCATCGAAAGTTTCACATTCGCACGAAACGATTACAAGGGAAAGAGTTTTAGCACAATTGTAAAAATGGAAATTTTCCAAAATTAAAAAATATAATAAATGGTAAATATATCTGGACATATTCGAAATCGAAGTAAAAATTAAACAAAACTGATTCAACTGTAGGACGTTTAGAAATTTGATTTGGATGAATAATAAAAAACAAAATAATTTTCAATATCCAACATAAATTTCAGGAGCTATGGTTGAATGACCACTAAATATTTGATGTGACAACATCCATAAAGTGATCAATTACCCCCCATGTTTTTTCCGAAATTAAGTCATTTGTGGCAAGTTTTTAAGTTTTAATGGAATATTTAAAGGTTCGTCGATTTTAGTAAATGATTTTGAAATTGAATGAACGATTTTTTTAATATTTTTAACCAGTAAGGAAAGTAGTAAAGTCGGACGGGGCCGACTATATGATACACTTCACCACTTGGGTATATTCAACAGTTGAATCATAACATACGTCGCATTTTTAGAGGACCAGTAAAATGAAATTGGATCCATAAACATGTCATTCTGAAACCGATACTAAATTGTTCATTTGGTTAGATATAGAAGCTATATCTAAATCTGAACCGATTTTCACGAAACTTTGCACACATCATTTTAGACCTAATTCAGTACCCTATACCAAAATTCGTGCAAATCGGAAGATATATATAGGGACGTTGGTACACCATTTCCATCAAATCGGATGGAAATATATATGGGAGCTATATCTAAATCTGAACCGATTTTCACGAAACTTTGCACGCATCATTCCAGACTTAATTCAGTACGATGTGCTAAATTTCGTGCATCTCGAAATATATATAGGGACTTTGGTGCATCATTTACATTAAATCAGACGAAAATATATATGGGAGCTACATCTAAATCTGAACCGATTTTCAGGAAACTTAGCACACATCATTCTAGACCTAATTCATTACGCTGTGCCAAATTTCAACCAAATCCAAAGATATATAGGGGCTTTGGTGGACCATTTACATAAAATCGGACAATACTATATATGGGAGCTATATCTAAATCTGAACCGATTTTCACGAAACTTAGCACACATCGTTCTAGGCTTAATTCAGTACGTTATGCTAAATTTCGTGAAAATCGATGGATATGCGGGAACTTTGGTTCCCCGTTTACCTAAAATCGTACGGAAATATATATGGGGGCTATATCTAAATCTGAACCGATTTTAACGAAACTTTGTGCACATCATTTAAGACTTAATTCGGAACGCAATGCCAGATTTCGTGCAAATCGAAATATATATATAGGGTATTTGGTGCACCATTTACATTAAATCGGACGAAAATATATATGGGAGCTATATCTTAATCGGAACCGATTTTTCCTAATTTCAATAGGGCTTGTCCTTGGGCCAAATAAGTGACCTATGCCAAATTGCATACAAATCGGATCATAAATGCGGCCTGTACTTTGTTCACAAAAGTACATGGACGGACAGACGGAAATGCGTAAATCGACTCAGAAAGTGATTCTATGCATATTCTCAAAAGGAACCATGTGTCTATCTCGTTTCCTTTTGCTTGTTACAAACATATGCACAAAGACATAATACCCTGTACCACAGTGTGGTGAAGGGTATAAAAATCCACGCCTTAGTGGAGACTTTTTATACCCTACACAACTATGTTGTCAGGGTATTATAGCTTTCTGCAGCCCCAAGAGTTTGTAACGCCGCGAAATATTGGTCCTATACCCACCTTTAAGTATACCGATCGTCATATCTCGACTAGCTGAGTCCGTCTGTCCATTATAATTTGTAAACGCGATACAGTCCACAGTTATGGACCAATCTTACCGAAATTTTGCATGTATGATGGGTTTTGGTCTTAAGAAATTTCTTTATAAAATCCACGCCTATTGGCCTTAAGAAATTTCCTTATAAAATTCACGTGCTAAAGATCGGTTAATAATTAGGGGATGAAATGTATCAAAAACTTGATTTTGGCTGATTTTCTGGTCGCTCCAGAGACCGCATTTAAGGCCCAAACATCGCGAATTTTTGCATGGAGAAGGGGATCGGGCCAAAGAATAAGTATGCCTGTTTTGATAAATATCGGTCAATATATAGCGGTTCAAAACAGCATATGTTACTCGCCTACGACGCCGATGACATCGATATAATGGTTTCGAACATTGCGAGCGGTAACAGCCACCTTTGAACAAATTGAGAAGTAGTCTGTCAAAGTGGGTCTTTCAGTAAACGGCGAGAAGACCCAGCTGATGGTATCAACGCGCAAGACGTCCCGTAGACTCGGACCAACTGTGTAGACTTGAGAACTACAGCTTCGAGGTAGTCGAAGATTTTTATATACCTTGGTACCGCCATAAATAAAACGAATTACATCAGTTTTGAAATTCGGAGAAGGATTGTGATGGCCAACAGATGCTACTATGGTCTGAGCAAACAACTCAAAAGCAAGGCCACATCCCGCCAGACCAAACTCACACTCTGCAAGACGCTGATACTACCCATCGTGCTGTTATATGGATCTGAAGCATGGATACTTGCGCAGAAGATGAGGCAGCTCTTAAGGTGTTTGAGAGAAAACTTCTCCGAAAGGTCTACGGGCTGATCTGCGTCGACGGTGAATATCGGCGTCGAATGAACCATGAGCTGTACCAGCTATTCTCGGTCATGTTGTGAGAACGTATGAAGATGCCCCAGTCCGGAAGGCATATAAAAGCGAACCTACTGATGGTTCCCGTAGAAGGGGAATGCCACGCATCAGATGAAAAGGCCAAGTAGAAAACAACATCTTGGAACGTGGACCGACGCGCTTGGAAATCATTTTTAAGCTCGGCATAGGAACGAAAGTAAGTTAGTAATCTCGAATTTTTTTAAATCCTCGGATTACTGGTCGCCTCGAAAAATATTGCAGATGCTTTAAAATAATTTTTAAAAAATCCACGCCTGTGCTATGTGCCTTAAAAAAAATTTTAGAAAATCCACGCTTGTTGCAGATGTCTTAAAGTCCTTTTGCATTTGACCTCTGTCACCTTTTGTTGTCAAATCTGAATATTTTTTACAATTTGTCTCCTGCCAACATGGAAAACATTTAGACGAACTTTTTTCTTCGTTTTTATTTCGTTTATTTTTCTTATCGTAGCCATCTCATTATAATCGTCAGCGCGAACATTATCAACTGTATGCATCCTTGTGCCCGATTCCTTGGTCCTTGTCGTTGGGTAAATAGTTGTGCGTTTGTGAGTGCATTGGTGTGTGTCTGTCTGTGTGTGTGTGTAACATCAACAAATAAAAGTTTATTATAATTTTTCGTTTTCTCTTGTTTGTTGTTGTTGTTATTTGTTATTCTTTGTTTCCGTTGTCTTCTTGTTATTATTATCGCGATGTTTTTTCTTCTCCATCCTCCTCTTCATTCTCATTTGAAAGTTCTTGCAGTGTATTAAATAAAATAACAAAAAAGGAAAATAAAATTGCATATTTACAAATAACTATGCAATTTAATGGAAGTTGTTGTTGTAGTAGTTGTTGTCTTCACTGTTGTTGTTGCCGACGTAAGAGTAAGTTTTAAGTTTTACATTATTATGTAGTTGTATTTGTTTTGCCTTTCAAACTATGAATTTCGTTATAAAGTTTACTTTGTCGGCAACATTTTTGAAGAGCTAGGGGAGAGGGAATGGGTGGATGGTCTGGAATAGGGTGAGAATTGCTTTTGTGTTTATTTAAGGATACTGAAAGGAGATATGCAACTGGAATATCAAATTGATAAATTCAAGTAATAAATTTCGGGAAATGATAAACAGGAGTTGGGAAATCAAAATTAGAAAATTCGAATGGGAAATACCAGTAAGGAAAGTAGTAAAGTCGGACTGGGCCGACTATATGATACCCTTCACCCCATTTGATATATTCTAATATCTATCCTAACATACGTCGCCTTTTCGAAGGAATTTAAATTAAATCGGACGAAACTATAAATGGGAGCTATCACCAAATTCGAACCGATTTTCACGAAACTTAGCACACATTATTCTATGCTTAATTCAGTACGCTGTGCGAAATTTCATGCAAATCGAAAGATATATAGGGACTTTGGTGCACCATTTACCCTAAATCGGACGAAAATATATATAGGAGCTATATCTAAATCTGGACCGATTTACTCGAAACTTAGCACATATCATTCTAGGCTTAAATCAGTACGTTCTGCCAAATTTCGTGCAAATCGGGACTTTGGTGCATCATTTACATAAAATCGGACGCATCTATATATGGGGGCTATATCTAAATCTGAACCGATTTTCACGAAACTTAGCACATATAATTCTCGACCTAATTTAGTACCCTATGCCAAATTTAGTACAAATCGAAAGATATTTAGTGACTTTAGTGCACCATTTACCTTAAATCGGACGAAAATATATATGGGAGCTATAACTAAATCCGAACCGATTTTCACGAAACTTAGCACACATCATTCTCTATCTAATATAGTACCATATGCCAAATTTCATACAAATCGATAGATATATAGGGTCTTTGGTGCACCATTTACATAAAATCGGACGAAACTATATATGGGAGCTATAACTAAATCTCAAGCGATTTTCACGAAACTTAGCACACATCATTCTCAACCTAATTTAGTATCCTGTGCCAAATTTCGTGCAAATCGAAAGATATTTAGGGACTTTGGTGCACTACTTGCCTTAAATCGGACGAAATTATATATGGGAGCTTATCTAAATCTGAACAGATTTTCACGAAACTTAACACACATCATTCTAGGCTTAATTCAGTACGCTGTGCGAAATTTCGTGCAAATCTGAAGATATTTAGAGACTTTGTACATAATTTACCTAAAATCGGACGAAAATATATATGGGAGCTATATCTAAATCTAAAC